GAGAGAGAGAGAGAGAGAGAGAGCTGGCTGTGGTGCTCACGTGTCCGAGTGTTTCACTATTGTCTGGTGTCTGCAGATTGGGATTTATTTATAGCTGTGTCTGTCTACCTCAAAGCCCCATAATGCACCACTCCCAGATCCTGCGACTGGTGGCCTTTTTTTACCTAAATCTCGAAAATAATCTCAAATCTGATCTCACAAAACATAAATAGAACAAAAGCACACAAGGCACCACCTGCCCCACAGACACAAACAGTCTGAAATGTGACTGAAAAGACGTGTCAGTCAGGTATTTACTGAAAGCCTGTGTCATGGATTATCTCTGTCATCAGATTCCCCACAATCCAATTTAATCTGCTGTATCCTGGGAAGGGATTCCTCAGGCTGACCAATAGAGAGTGAGTATCATGACGACATAGCAGTAGCCAGGTGGAAGCTGCACTTTGTCTGTAGTACTTCTGTAGGCTTTTTTGGCTTAGTGCTCTGAAACTTTCTCACATAAATGACTTGATTTAGAGCCTAGTTTAATTTCAATTTTTGTTTGACCGAAGAGTTTTAAAAAGATCTTGTCATACTAGCTTGGAAAGAGGTCATGGTATGGTTGATTTTTGGATGAAACAAACCCTCATGTGACGTTTCTTCTGTCTGCATGGAAAGGTCAAGTTTCTACAAGAGGTTCCTGTGGTCATCAGCATGGAACAGTTGAACACCTGACACTCTGACCGGTGAGAGATACATCTAAAAGGAAATACTGGCGTTAATGATGACAGTTTGGTTCACTTCAAATTCAAATTTTAAATTTAGATGCCTTTAAGTTTTTATTTTGATTTCTACTTAAACTTCTGCTCTAGCTTTGCAACTACACTGGATTACTCTTAAAGGGATAGTTCATCCAAAAATTACAATTCTGACATCATTTACTCATCCTCATGTTGTTCCAAGTGTTCTTTTTTTCTGCAGGAAACAAAAGAAGATATTTAAAAAAAAAAAAAAGCACATAACACAATTACTGAAACTAAAATAAATAATAAACACTAAAAATATAAAAATGAAAGCTAATTCAAAACATTAATACATATTATAATAGTATATAAATATTACTAAACTTTGTGTGAACAAGTTGAAATATTCTGGTATTTGAACTGAAAGTAATAAAGATTTGGAACGATCTGAGGATGAGTAAATAATGACAGGCTGAATGACCCCTTTAAAAATTGCATTCTTGTACAGCTCTTGCACTGCTCTGACTTCTTTATGATATTACTTGTGCTTGTTCTCATTTCTAAGTGATAAAATTGCTTGCTAAATGAATATACACGTGTATCCCTATTAATAAATGTGATTAAACATGCTCGTGCTTGTATGGAAGCACAAGGCAAGGCAAAGGGGTGAATTTCCATCATCATTTGTTGCATTCTAGACCCTAAGATGTGAAAGGCCCTCTGTTTGAGCCGAGGACACCCTAAGGAAAGAAAAACCGCAAATGATATTCTGTTAATATTGCAGTTGTTTTTACTAAACTGTATTTAAGTTAAATTAGAACAAATGTGGGTTTTGGTTTGAGTCTTGTGCTTCACAGATGTGTCTCCTCAGAAAAACCTTGTAATCTTGCACGTGTCTCTTCAGAAGAGATCTCAACAATGTCTTAAACTGTGCTCAGATTTGCCAAGAAATATCCTCCTTTTAATTTCCCAGAGACCATATATGACACAGTTTGAAGTCCTATCATAAAGAGGACTTCCTGGATGCTTCAGATGGGGGATTTGGCCATGACAATTTGCTTTCCCTTTTAAAAACAAACCAAAATATCTGACATCACAATTCAGCACATTTTATGGAAATAGGAACATTAGTATTATTTTGGAATTCGTCATTAGTATTTGATTGATTTACAATGGTTTCTTGTAAATAAATATCTCAAGAAATGTTTTGTGAGTTTACAAGGACATTGATTTCTTCCTCTATGATTGAATGCATGTCAGTAATTTTGGAAAATATGCAACAGGTAAATAGGGTGAAAACAAAATGACAATGTTATTATGAAATAATCCATCTATTTATTTATTTTTTGTTTGTTTGTTTTCCCTTAAACATCATTGAAAATAATGTATACGGTCATAACCACATTTTGGTCCTGTTTACACAAATTCATAAATTTTACTAATTTACTTTACAAAACTAATTTAATATCTGTCAAAAAAAATCATATGGGAATGGAAAAAAACATCATTATTGGCTAAAGTGTCTTTTCCTAATAACAGGGAATATTATTCAAAATATGAATCAAGTACTTAATATATATATACAGTGTGTGTATATATATATATATATATATATATAATATCAGAGTTATTAAAGTACAAATACATGGTAAAAATAAAAATGAATATAAAAATATAATATATAGGCTATATTAATAAATGAAAATGCATAAGTTATTAAATAACTTTTAATTTAATTGTCATAATTAATTAAATATCTATCTATCTATCTATCTATCTATCTATCTATCTATCATTAGCCTACAGACATGTGCGTACGGACTTCATTTCCCAGTGCGCATCGCGTCGTGCGATGTTTCCCACAGCTGACATACAGTGAGCAGAGACTCACAGCAGAACGCGCAGCTCGCACGACGCGCTTCCACAGCGCACTTGGATTTGGGAGTACCTCAAACCACATCTCCCTTGTGGATCCCAGTATAGACCGCATCTATTGTCCGTTCGGACAGTCTGATGGCATGCGTCTGTAGTAGTGCATGTGGATTGTATTATTATTTGTAGTTGCACTCATCTCTCCATCCACGGCGTGCCCGATGCAGTGGGATGGACGGTGTTAGAGTGGGGCTGATGATGGTGGAGGAGAGTGATGAACAGAGGGACAGCAGCGGCAGCGACAGCGGCGGTGGCGCAGCGATGGCCGCGCTACACCAGTGCGAACTGATCCAGAACATGATCGACATCTCCATCTCCAGTTTACAAGGACTCCGGACCAAATGCGCAGCGTCCAACGATCTCACGCAGCAGGAGATCCGCACTTTAGAGGTAAAAACGACGAGAGGGGCCGAAGTGCAGCGTCATGAAAGAACGGATCCGCTCTCGCACGCGCGCTTTATCCGTTTCTTCCTATTTTTGCACTGCAGCTGTTTATTGTGGTGCATTATAGAGGCGCACAGGACTGGGAATGAACCCCTCCTATTGCAATTTACCATATTATCCCTAACAACTGAAGTATTACCATGTTTGCACAGTGTACCGTGGTAATACAATTTGGACAGTACTGTGATGCTGTATTTTTAGAAACGCACAGGGATTGAACATCTCTCCCAAAAATGTGCAATGGTATTATCAGGGTTTTCTGAAGAATTTCGTTCGGGGGTCTCTATTAAATAGCAAAAAATGTACTATGGTATTACCATGACAGGGTAGCAGAGCAATACCATAGTCATTTCTGGAGTAGGCTAAGATGTAAATATGACAGTGCATGCATATGGTAATCATATAGCATCACAATATCAATGTACCATGGTAAGAATGGTACAGCCACAGTACTTTCTTCGTAAATGAGCATAAGAAGCTTTCAGAAGTTTTTATTTACGTCAGTTGTGGCATATTAGTGTTTCTAGAGTTTTACTGTATTAAGTATGTTATTTTGGAAACACGTTGGTAATTCTGGCAAGTTTATTACTGTATGTCAATACAATCGCAAAACATCTCAAATAAAACACCACACCACAGTGCATTTGACCTGGTTCTGTTGACTAAGTGAAATATTCTTGGCGGTGAGATGCTGCGTAAAGCACAGCATCCCTGCAGCATCTCCGGACCAGAACCAGTCCTGATATTTTGACAGTAAAGGCCTTCACTGGACCGCCGTCCGGTCTGTGTGATATTTTGCCGATAGCGTCTCACCCTGACTTCTACAACATTGGCGGTTAGATATATTGATGTGTGCTCCACCTGGAAAGTGCCCCATTGCTTCACCGGTAGGTGTAATTAATGAGGAATCAATACAGCCATGGGTGGATGGTGTGCAAACAGCCCCGGAGGACGTGTAGTTTGAGTATTGGGTGAAGATGTGACCTCATGCACCAGAATGATTGTTTTGGAGATTTGAGATGTTTGTGGAGATCCTCCTTTTATGGAGTGTTGCGGATTGCCTGATCTAAAAGGAAATTAGTCCTGATTTGGAGTTAAAGGCCCACGAAGATTAGTTATATTTACATGACACTATGAAATGATTATTTTTTTCTTGTTATGATTGGCCACATGGTTTTTGCGAGCATATAAAATTACAAATTATTTTGTCTAAATAAATGTTTTTGAGTTGTGAGTTGAGTCATCACAACATTATAATGTGTATACTGTAAAATATGATTTTTCAAATATTATTGGAGTGTGTTTTACAAGGAAAATACCATTTCAGTCATTCTACTTAAAAATGTCTTGTTTATTAATTGTTACTTGCAATTTCTGAGTGGAAATTGTTTCTACACCAGTTTTCAAGTGTATGAAAAATAGGTATGATTTTTTAGACTTGCATAAGATTGCATTTAATAGTGTTTTTAAATCCTTTGTGTTTTTAAAGATGAACATTAGATGGCTGTGAAGGTCATTTAAATGAGGAGAAATGCACAATTAAATAATCAATATAATACTGATAAACAAAAAAAATCTAATATTGGTTGATAAATGATGTGGTATTCTGTACATCCTAAAAATCTAATATCGGTCGATAACCGATATGGTACAGATATGTATCGTACGTATTAAGTAGGCAGTTTTTTTTTGTGAAAGGTAATAAAATTCTAGAGCAATTTAATGAAAGAACAGCAAATCCTGCTCTAGCAGAGGAAGACCATGAGGGTTTAGGGTGCGATTTGGGACAGGGCCCAAATCAGGCACTACTGGGCCTTAAAGTCTGCAGGAAATGGTGGAGTCACTGCCGGGGAGCGCTTGCACAGCCTGCTTCCTCTTTATTGTAGCACTTTCTGACTGCGTCTCCTTCTCTTAGAGCATTTCATGCATTGTATCTCGATTAGTTGCGATAAATTAAAGGTGGTCAATCACATCTTTCAAGTAAGCAGCCCTGGTTTCTCAAAGGCTTTGAGAAGATCCTAGTTCTCTGAGCCCTCAGCAGCCAGCATTACCAAACTTCGGCCCAAACTTCGGCTGTATAACAGGACCTGGATGCTTGTTAATTCCTGTGCAGAACAACGGATCTGAAGTAGTCACATTCAAACTCTCACCACTTCCCGTACACTTCAGCGCAATCAAGAGACGCTTGAACGCGCATTAGATTCTCACTGAAAGCTCTTTATACCATCACTTCATGTCTTTTTTTTAACAGCTCGCCACTCTGGCCAGGAGATAATTATTCTCGTCTCTCCTGCTGAAGTACTGCGTGGTTATGTTTGATCGAATGTTCTCACTCTCTCCCGCATCTTCCTGATCTGCATTTTTTTCCAATCTGTGTTTTGCATCGATTTTGGATCGCTGGTTTACGCAAAGTAGGACGTGTTTCTGTATGGAACAACGTTGCTATCATCCAGTCAGATTTTAGGGTTAGAGTCAGCATGCAACAGTGTTTGCAACCACTTTTTATTTCTAGGAGACGTATATCCACATTAAACCGGATATGGAGAACATGTGGGATAGGATTTGATATTATCCATGGTGAACCAGTGTTGTTATTGTGAACTAAAACTATTACAAAATAGTTTTAAATAACCTTAATGAAATGTAAAAATGTTGCCTTGGTAACTTAATGAAAAAAGATTTTGTAATTTTAATACTTCAGTTTAAACTAAACCAAAATAAAAATAAAGTTAAAAAGTGATACATAAATTTTTTTTAATAAAATGGAAAAATAAAAGCTAATTCAAAATATTAATAAATACTATAAGAGAATATAAATAATACTGAAATAATGCTGTTGGGAACTGATTGGATTGTGAGTATGGATGCACAAATGTTACAGTTTTCTCAGATACATTGAACATTTTTTCACATTATGCCTGATAACCGATAAATGGCTGATATTAACCTTTTATATTGTTTTGTCTAAATAAATGAAAAATTAAACTCTAAAAGATAAAATAAATAAATCTCAAATGCTACAAGTGAATTGAGCCATCACAGCATTATAATGTACAAATTGGATATTAATTTTGAGACTGGCTAAAGATTATTTGTGTTTTAAGTGAGCAATTTTATTTTTATATTTTCAGATTTAATTTTAAGGGATTTTTTTTTTAAATTTTGTTATATGCCTTTGTTACTTTTTATTATTATTATTATTACTATTATTTAGGTTTAATTTATTTTTTATTTCAGTTTTAGTTTTAATTTATTTCCAGTGAGTAATTTTAGTGCTTTAACTTAGTTTTTTTAAATTTTAATTTTAAAGTTTTTCATTTAATTTTTATATCTTATTTTATTTCTGCCTTTTCTTAATTGACCAAAATGTTTATAATAGTATTCATTTCAGTTTTAATTTTTGTTAACAATAATAACCTGCTAGGTTGATAGTAATTGTGTTCTGGACATGGATCTAGAAACATGTCAATTTTGCTATATCAATTGAAATCATCTTTACTGATCAAATCAAACCAAATCAGCTTGCACCCTATGCCTTTCCTCAAGACTTGGGAATGCTAGTCCTGCACCAGTTGTTTCCCCAGCTGCTGTGGGAATGCATTTGTCCTCCAGAGTGAGATTGGTGTGTCCTCACATCTTTTCATTGTGCAGATTTTGATGAACTGTGATGTTTGATTCCGACAGCATGAGATGCCGTCTCAGGAACGCTGTGACCTACTTCTATGCAGAGATCTTCAATCTCTCTATGGATAAACGGGTTTGTTGATGGTAAAAAAGAAGAAGCTAGCTTGGCTCCAGAGGGTGCCTGTTGTGTTGAAGCCCTCATCAGTCTGGTCTCCCCCCGCAGTGATGTTTGAGAGAGTTTTGCAGTGCATTCATGTCTTGTGCTGTCGTGGCTGTGGCTATATTTAGATGTCTTCCTCCCTACGCGTTTTCAGGGTTGGTTGTTAAATAAGAAAATAATGACGTGAAGAGCATGAGGGTGGGGAGGGGAGAGGGAGAGTGCCAGCCAATCAGCTTGTGTCTGTTTGAGGGCTCCCAATAG